AAAAAAATAAAAAAAAAAAAAAAAAAAAAAAAGAAAGTGAGTGCATTTAAAAATTGGTATCAAATAAAATCTTAGAGTTTGAGTGTAATCTTATACTTAAATTCACAAATAATAAGATAAGTGAACTAGTACTGAAGTTATGAAATTTCAATTTTAATTACAAATACGTCTAATTTTTAAGCTACATTATTCAATTTAGAATTCAAAAGTGAATGTTTATATTCATAATATATAAATTCAAATTAAGCAATAATAAGGATGTCTGGTTATGATAATTATTAGTATTTTTTGAAACTAGAATGATAACTTTGTTCATTTCCACTACTTCTTGACTGTTATATATTATCCTATATTTTAGTAATTTTTAACTATTAATTTTTATTTTGGTTATTAGATTAATCAAAATTATAGGTTTTTTTATTTGCTTGAGGATAAGCAAGAGTTTAAGCTTGGGGGGGATTTGATAAGCATAAATTATATATTATTTGAAGTATATAATTTTCATTAAAAATAAATTATTTTAGTTATTTTTGTGAAGGAAAAATATAAAAAGGGAAAAAATTATAAGTAGTCTATAATGCCATGCAATCCAATAAAACAACTCCACAATATCACATTCATTACTACCAATGTGTCATAAATTAGACATAATGGCATCAAGTTCTCTATTTGCAAGTGCTACAGCAGCAACACTTCCAACGTCACAGTATTACTAGTGGCAGGACATCAAAAAAGTCACCTGGACAGCATCATGTTCTTTTTTTTTAAATGCCACAGTGCCATAATTTCTCACGCCTTGGCACCTTTTTTGTCAATTGGGTGTGATAGCTCTCGAATGTCAACAATGACACAACATTACAGTTATAACTTCTAAGGGTCACGTTCTCTTACTGAAAAGATGCGACTGTTCACTAAATAACTAACCCCCACATCAGTGAGCACTATGGCTGTGAAAAAGCTTCAGTGCTAGTTCACTTTAAGGGTGCCGTGTTTCAAGCATTGTATTGCTAAATGCCTTTTTATATTCTTTATAAATAGTTTTAATGTTATATTTATAAGGGAGTTCAGTCATTTGTGTAAAATTCAATACATTTTAGAGTATTTATCTAGTTGGCTCTTAGAGTAAAATTTAAGTGAGGCTAGAGAAGTACAATATATAATTATTTAGATTATTTATCCAATAAATTAAGGGAGAAAGAGTGTAGATGAGATACTTAGATCCTTCTTTGATATATCACTCTCTTGTATTTTCATTCTTCCATGAGTTTAATGAAAATGAGTTTGCTTGTTATACTTTATTTGTCTAGTTAATTCTCTTATATTGGATTGATGATGTAAAGTGCATGTTGAGTAATAACGAAGACTCCTATTCTATAATTGTTAAAAGGCATTTTCAATATTATATCGCTCTTTATTTAATACACAGTGGCTATATGTATAATTAAAATATAGTATGATGTATAGTCTCAATCGAAGAATGCAAAAATAACTAAGAATGTTATAATAGGATGTTTTAACGCCTTGACATAGATGTAAAATGTTTTAGGTTCTTAAGAAGATACTATACTATAGGACACAAACAAATATCTTTTTCACCACTACAAGCTCGATAGAGATCTAGGGATCCATATGCCCTAAATCATATTCATAATTAAGAGTTTTATTAGGAAATATATAAACTTACACTCATCAATCCAAAATACTTTAATTAAATATTATATCAAACAGTTTTACTAATTTATTCAATGATAAAATCTTCACAATTATCAATTTTATTTCAGTATGATAATTATTGCAGTTAGAGCAAATAATAATAGTTTGTTGTAAG